AAAGATATTTTTGAAAAATTTAACAAAATTTTTCTTTTTTATTTTTTTAGGATATGAATTGGGTCTTCCCAACCCCAGATAGCATTCTAAAAATGGGACCCATGGGGGGCCCCAAATTTTTTAATTTTTTTTTTTTTTTTTTTTTGGGCACCTTTTATGGGTCCCTTTTGGGCGGGCCCATAGGGGCCCCCATATAGGAAGTGAAACCCGGGGTTTTCCAAAGGGGTTTCCCATCGGGGCAGCCCTTATATTTAAATTTATGGGATTCACAGGGGCCCATTTTGGGCACCCCATGTACACAATTTTGGGCCCCCACAGGGGCCCCAAAATGGGCAGCCCTTGAAATAAATATGGGTTTCAAAGGGGCCCCAGCCCAAAATACTTCCATTAGGGGGTTAGATTTTTAAATTTCCGGGGTAGATTTTATTTTCAATTACTTCAATTAAAGTTTGCTGACGTTTGATAGAACCCGTTTTGTTTAAAAGAGAATAAATTCTTGTACTTGCTTTAAAAAATTCAATTTGATGTTTTAACTAAATTTCTTTTCCTGGAACAGACAGATTATGGCAAAAAGGGCCTTTTATGATCTTTTCAAAAATTTTTCAAATTAAATTGTTTAAAAAACAATGTATTTTATTTAGAAATCCATTTTGGAAATTTAAATATCATAATATACAGTTTCCCTCAATACATTCTGTGGACCCCGGGATGTCAACAAAAAAACCCTTTACTTATGTAAAAAAAAATTTTAAAAAAGTGTACAATATAAAATCCAAGAAAAACTGTACATATTTGTAAATCCACAGAATTTCATTTTGAACTTTTTTTTAAAAAATACAGAAAAAATTAATTATTATTAAAAAATTTCCCAGGTAAAAAATATTACTTTGGTACATTTAAATAAGCAAATGTAATGGAAAATGTTTATAATGTACGAACAAAAATTTAAAAATTTTGGAAAGTTTTAAAAAACTTTAGATCCCTTTTACAGATCACTATAAGGAAAAATAAAAACTTTTTGCTAGACATTTGGTAAAATTTTTACAGAAGGTTTTTGGGAAAACTCCAAGAAATATATGTGTATAATTTTTAAAATTTTCAGTAAATCAACAGAAAGACCCTAAATGTTTTTTAATTTTCAAAAATTTTAAATAGAAAAATTTATTAAACTTTAAAAAAATTCTTACAAATTTCTATCTAACAATTTTTTCTTTTCAAATAAATTATAGATCTACATAAATTAATATAAAAAGTTTTTTCAAAAACAACCAATTTTTATTACATTTTGGTAGGTAGTGCTGAAAAAAACAAGAGCTTTTTCCGTAAACAGCGCGCTCGATTTTTTTAAATTGCTTTCCCAAAATAAAAAAAGTTTTTGCAGAAAAAAGGGAAAATACAAATTCTGTATTTTTAAAAGGGAAAACAAGGGCCCATGAGCATTAAAAATTATTTAGTGAAAGAATTTTTTTATTTAAATTTGTGTGTACCCTTGAAACACTCCCAGCAAAGTTTGAAATGTTTAATTTCAAAAGGGGGGCTGGAAAGAAAAAAAAAAAAAAAATAGTTTTTTGATCCCCTTAAATATTAAACCAATTTTAAATATGACAAAAATTTATGGTAAATCAAGTGGATGGGAAAATAAATTTTTTTTTAGTTTTTTTAATTTTTTTTAAGTGTTTGCCATAATAAAAAACTTTTTAAAGAAGGGCCCTTTAATTTCAAAAAAAAATTTTTGACAGAATTACCTTTTTCCTGGAATTTTTGGGGAAATCATGTTTGTAAACAATTTATTCCAATTTTCAAATTAATTCTCAAACAGTTAAAGTAAAAAAGTGGATTTGGTTTACAAAAAAAATTTAAACCAAGTTCTAGCGATAAAACCCCTTTAAATTTTTTAAAAACAAACCCTTGAAAAGGGTTCCCTTTCCCTTTTCCCGGTACAATGGGGGAAAATAGTGAAATGCATTAAAATTTTTCAAAGCAATATTTTCAAAGGGTTAAGGAAAATAATTTTGGATTTTTCAATTTCAATGTTTTCTAAGTAAAAAAAGGGGCATAATTCTGTAAAAAACCTGACAGAGTTTTTCCCTCTTGCTGTTGATGAATTTTCGTGATGGTAAAAAGAAATGGTAAATTTTCAAAGAAAAATACCCAAGGTTTTGAAAAAAATTTGGGGTTTGGTAAAAAAAATTTAAACCCAAGCTCAATACACTTTCTAATTTAAAAAAAGGGGAAAATTGCAAAAACCCTTAAAACGAGTTATGAAACTTTTGCCCGTAGAGGGGTTAGAGGTGAAAAAAAATGGTAAGTTTTAAAAGGGCCCATACTTTTTAATACTTCTGAAAAAAGGGGGGCTGGTCCCGAAAAAATGTTATGCAAGCTCAGTGAAAAGTAACAAATATAATAAAAAAAAACCCCCCCTGGCACAGTTGTAATACACAAATGTTCATAGATGTGTAAAACAAAATATTATGCAGCTGATGAAAAAAAAAATTAATATAATTAACAAAACCTTGGCACGGTTGTAATACTGTTTCATAGATGTGTAAACAAAATATTATTGCATCTGATGAAAAAAAAAATTAATATAATTAACAACAAAAAACCTTGGCAACGGTTTTGTAATACTGTTTATAGACGTGTGGCCAAAATATGCAGCTAATGAAAAGTAACAAATATTTGATACACAAAAGGTTGGCCACTGTTGTAAATTGTCAACAAAAATATGCAGCTAATGAAAAGTAACAAAAAAGTAATACAAAAAAAGGTTGGCACGGTTGTAATACTGTTTATATAGACGTGTTTAACAAAATATGCAGCTGATGAAAGTAACAAATATAATACACAAAATCTTGGCACATTGAAATACTGTTTATAGACATGTAAACAAAATATGCAGCTGATGAAAAATAAAAAAATAGTTTGTACAAGTTTGTAAAAGAATCAATAAATAATTAAAATGTGATATTACGAAAAAGATCAAATTTGTTGTGAAGAAATTCATTAAAAAAATTGTCAGTAAAAATAGTTGGTTTCAGTAATTTCTCGATATTATCAAAGTTTTCAACAAATAACAACAATAAAGATTACAAGAATCATCATTGTAAAAGTATTCCAACTTTATTTTTAAAGGTTAATACCATATTCAATACATGTGTTCCCTGTTAGTGTCAAAGTTTTTGACAAGATGTTTATAATTGTATTGATCAGTATCAAAAACATTCCCTCAAGCATTTTAATGTCTTGATTTAAAATAGTAACAAATGTTTTTTGTTTGTTTGTTTCATTTTTACGCCTTTTACGTCATATAGGCGGGTAGTTTTCCTAACCATCGTTTTCTGGAGAGTTACACCAGTACTAGACTACCTTTCCTCCGTGCAGTAACAATGTTTAATGGAAAAAAAAACAACAGCATATAGACAACAGAAAAACAGCATATAATGTCAACAACAAACATAACATAGCAGCAGAATATACTGACTAGAAGGCAAAATTTGACTAGACAAAGAATTTTGCATTTTAGAAGAAAGACATGCTATGCTGATCGACCTCAAACATTAAAATTGAGCAAAAAAAAAGTATAACAAGATAAACAAATGAGCCGCTTACTGTAGTTCTGACCCTTATCACATTTTAAAAAATACCCTTGATACATATTGACTTTCAATCAGTGGAATAACTTATATGCAGATGAAGTAAAGGTTTGAAAAATGTAAAATATAAAAGTCATTTATTTTATGCTTTTTGAGTGTATTACTGATGTATCCGTGAAAAATATATTTGATAATTTTCACAGTAAAATGATTAAAATTTCAAACTTTTCTATGACGAGACCTACTTTTTAAAGATTTTATCATCATTCAAATTTTTTGAATTTCAATAAATAATATCATGGCTATTCAACGTTGATTGTCAAACTTATTTTTCAGCCCAAGACTTCCCTGTATTTATGAGAAATGGGACTTAAAAAAATTTAACTAAAATTGATGTTAACAGTGGGGAAAACAGATTTAATATTAACGTTAATATTGAGGAAAATTTCATTAGGCATAAAATAAAAAAGACACTTTATTGTTTGTTGTGTAAAGATGTAATTTTATATCATTGAAGGACTTTAAAAAACAGTGTTCTCACTGAGAGCGCATAGCCACTCATGAGAATACTGTTTTTAAAGCTCTCTTGATGATATAAAATTTCATCTTACACACAAACAAACAAATATCCTCTATAAATTTGCATTTTTAGATTAAAAACATGTCTAGTCACTTCCTTCATTTTCTTTCAGGTAAGGTCTCTGACACTTTGTTTCTTGCTTTTCTTCCCCATCGCGGTCCGCGAGCCAGCCAGCCACTTTGAAACCTCTATTTCACATCCTTCCTCGATGCAGCCTTTGTCGGCAAGTTCCTTTGGACACATTCTACACAAACAAGCATTCTTATCCTTAAAGAATGAAATGAAGTGAAATGAAGGTATTGAAACCATTCAAAGGTCATAAGCCACCTTGTAGGATTTTGAGCAGTATAAATTGGAATATAAACTAATTCTGGTATGTTTTACCAAAAATATAGATGTTTGTTTCCTGGTTTTACATAGCTTTTAACAATATTTTTCTGTAATATCGCTGCAGTCAGTTGTAAGCTGAGATCATCTTATCGGTGTATCAGTAAAGAATGTTAAGGTAAGCAAATAACTTGCTTTACAGGAAGGTGATTTCTGTTTATATTATGCATCACAACACAATGCATGGGATCAAAACCACAACAGCATGTAAAATATTCTCTCTTATTAATTTCCATAAAAGCTAGTCAAGCATTTTCCTTCATTAAAGCAATACCCGAAGACACAATAACAAGATCTTGGATAATATATCTATTTTGAAGACACCACTTTGCAAATTTGTAAAATATCACTTACTATACACAATACATTCAGTATCTAGAGGCCCACAAACTTTTCCTTCCCCTTCAGCCACTTCATATTGTACATTCTTGCCAGTTCATTTGACATGGTTTCTTTCATCAAAAGCGGTCAACAGTTTCCCGTACATCTGCCATACCAAACATTGAGAGGAACCGCACCTTAAATAAAGCAGAACATAAACTTTTTTAACGTTAATTTTAACACTACTAAGTGATGGGCTGCAAGTCACCAAAATGACAAATAATTGTCAACTGGACCTCAAAAACATAATCTGCTGAGAAAAACTGTTTGGATTGACAAATTAAAAGATCTTCCCTCATATATTTTACAGCCTAGGAACAACACCTTAGTGACTTGTGCCTTTATGTTTGTCCCGCTACTCCACCGAGTAATATGGGGCACATTATCATTGTTTTTTTTATACAAGAGTTTATTCAATATCAACAGAATAATTGTTGATAATAAAATAAACAGCTCTCAATTTCTGGATTTTGGTGGTACTAGTCATTTTCCTGGTATTTTGAAAGCTGCCAGCATTTTGATTAATGAATTGACTGTCTTGTCCTAATTAATAATTAATGTTGAAAACGAAGGCCAACTGCCCATGTCTTGTGCTCATGGCTATTATAGCATATATAAATAACAAAAACTGTGTCAATATGAATAAAAAAATTAAAACATGCCAGTTTTTAATTCTGAATTAATGCAGCAAAGTGTTTGTCCACTGTGCAATATTTTTCCAACATAAATATAGCAGAATGATTATACATTATCATCAAGTGCTCACCACAGACCATTATGTTATTTTTCGCTTTTTAGGCCAGTGGATATGGGGTATATTTTTTCCAGTTACTAATGGAGCAACATACATGACTAACACTATGCTTACCACAGATGAGAGTATTGTCTGATCTCCCAGAAGCTTATCGAATGCTTCCATCTGCTCAGGATAACGAATAGGGAATGAGATATCTTTCGGAAGTTGCAGCGGTTGGTCATCTGCTGCTGACCTTAACAGCATTCGCTGCACCATCCTCTTAATTTCACGATTCTTCTCTCGCATTGTCTCAAAGACTCGGAGAATCTGTGTAACAGCAGCTGAAAAAAAGGATTCATAATTCTAGGCCCATATACTTTTAGAGCTATGTGTGGTCTGGATCCATGCTGGTCGCAAAACCCATTATGTTGGTTTTGTCATGACCCGGCTCAAATGAAAAAAATCCAGTATTTTAAATTTTTCCTTGGCTTTAACAGTAATTAACGCTAAAATCTCAAAAGGATTGTTGAGTGTGCAAGGTCACAAAATGTGAAAATGATATGAAATCATGAATTAAACTTAACATATTTTTGAGCCTAGGCATGTCATTTGGTGAAAATAAACATTCTTGACTCTTCCAGGGACCGTAACTTTGGATAACAGTAGTGGGGTCAGGCAAGAATATGCGCACAAATTCACATCATGATAAAGACTAACACAAGTAATCAGCAATTTCTTTTGAATATTTTTTGAACTAGGGGCGTAACAAGGTGAAACTTTCCATTTTTGGCTGTGTCACTCAATCCCGCTTGTTATTACATTTGTTGACTTGTTTTGAGAATATAACATTTAATAAGTATGTACTGTAATAATAAATATATTTATAGCTCCGAAGTTTATACTTACTGGGCCCAATAATCTGCCCACGGAAGGGTGTATCAGAAGCACCTTGTATTGGAGAAGCACTTTGCACATCACTGCTGGCCTCTCGCAATGCCTGTGCAGATAAGCGAGGCGGAGATGAAAGTAGGCTTTGTGACTCTTTGGGCGTTGTTGCTTGGTCAATAACTTGTGGTGGCCTACTCTCTGTGTCTGTCTCATTCTCATCAGTGCCACTATCCGATTCATACAGCCTTTTTGATGGCCTATTTACAATAAAATGAAATACATTAATAAGTAATTATAAAATACATATACATTAAGTGAGTTATTGCGCCAAGTGACAATATGATTATGACCCATAATCAGCTGGCAAACATGTACTAGTCTATGTTTACGTACCGAATTGTTGTGCCGCAATTTTGTCTACCAAGGATTTTTAGCATGAATTCGTTTGTTTCCCCGATCAGGGCTCACGCTGTCAGTCGCCATTTGCGATTATTTTATAAGATTGGCGATTATTTTTGCATTTTGGCTACAAAATCTGGCGATTATATTTTAATTCCAACAGTGTTTATATAAGGTGTAAAAATCGATAATGAATGCAGTAGACCCAATTAACACCGGCGGGGTGCATTTAATTGAGTGTTAACTTTTTACCGGTCACGTGCTGCTAACTATAGTCTATATTGCCCGAAGTGATAAAATACATGCGAGATGTATATTTGTATAAGTACTTTAAAGATATTGTCCAGCATTTATAATAGCCATCAAATATCCGTCAATTAGCCACAAAAATCGTTTTAAAATTGATAAACTGGATATTGACTTACCCAAAATTTACCGTGAATTCCAGTAATTTCAAATTTTGATTATTTTTTTTTGTTTTAAGCTACTTGACTAAATCGCCAGTGGAAAACAATGGTAAAATATTCAAAAAGTATTAAATTCCAAACAACTATTTGCACAACAACCAAAATTGTGAATATTTCTTCAGAAAACAGGAAAAATCCGATTGTCACATATTTTCGCGACACCGATAATTTTGATATTTATTTAAAGGTGAAATAAGCTATGTTCTGTTTAAAAATCTTTACTACTATGGCAGAAAATTTGTATTACATTGGTGATGATGATATTTTTCAGTAAATTATTCAGAAAAAAGGCTGCATTCTGTCACGGATTTATATTTGTAATATAAATCCGTGATTCTGTGAATGAGTTTGCAAACTTGTGTTATTTCTATAGGCTAATATGATGTGGAAATTGACAGTGGTTATAGCTGACAAAATTTGATTAGAACATACAAAAAAAGTGTCTGATAACAGCATTATGTAAAGTTATAATGAATCTTTAATATTATTGTTATACAGTAATAATACTAATTATAACGTTTTTATTCTGTTCTATAATAACAATTAAAGTTGTGGTTCTGTTTAAAAAAAGGTACTTATCAATATACACAAATGTATCAGTTTATTTGAGAATCCTTATAAAGCTGAAAGATATAAATGTAATGTTTATTTAATCAACTGCTTATGTTGTTAATCACTAATTTGTGAATAGTCCGCTGAACTTTTGGCTATTATTTTTTTAAGTTGAAATTATTGGCTATTATTTTATTTGAGCCAGTGTGAGCCCTGCCGATAGATATTTCATGAACGGGAAGGGCTAAAGACTTGGTCCCATTTGGAAGCTTAATACAAACGTGAAAGTGATAAAAGATTTTTTTAATTGTCTGGACAATTGTTTTCACAACGGCCCCGGAAGTGAATCACTTGCTTGCAGGCTCCAATCTGGAGTTTCTAGCCTTCTCTTAACTTAAAGTATGTTTTTAAAGGGGGGTATAATTTACAATTTTTTTCGGTTTTTGACCTTTTAAAGATGAACACAGGTTTAATTATCTTTCGGGTCATATTTTTGTCATATCATATTTGTCCGATACTCGTGCCTGTGCAACATAGGGCTTGGTTGGTACTTGGAAAAAATACTTGAATACACCCATAAACACTTTTCATATGAACTACGTAAATAACCGAGGTATATCGAGTGAAAAAATACGAGTTGTTTCCCTTATCTTCGAGTAAAATCGATATCTCTTACGCTAAAACAATACAAATTAAGCCATTTTTAAACCGCTAGTTTGTGGTGATTAAATGTCTGATTTTAAAAATTATTACATCAATGGAAAGCTTGGGATCTTAGCTTTGCCACAGTATATAATTTTACATATTTTTGTCACCAAAGTATTTAAATTAACTGTTAAACCTACCATATGTCAGACCATTTTACATACGATTTATACAGCGAGATACGCAACCGGTTATCTTTACTCGAAAACCTACTGATAAGAATAGCCTGTCGTCTGCTAGTTGGGGAAAGTGTTTATTGGTGTATTTGTAATAATAAGTATTTGCATTTAATATTTTAAAATGCTTATGAATGAAATATTGGTACAAAATGGAAGGGACTTCTAAGGCTAGGAGGGGTCACTGGATTTCAAATGATGGTGTCCCTTAAAAAAGGATCTCTTAAAATTTAGTCTAGATAGAAACAATATTATTAAAATGTTAGTGTCGACTCCGTCACAGTTAATTTATTCAACAATAACAACTATACACATCCATAGGTCAGCTAAAGTGTCTAATAGTGGGCGTAAATTCTAGAAAATGTCGCAAATTAAACTGACAAAAACTATCGCGAAATTACATGGCAAAGGCAAAAACAAAAAATAAATGACGTTTACACTTACCTACACACACAATAAATCTGTAAGGATATAATATGAAAGGTCGTTATACGAAATCGTCGTTAAATGTTCCGAATTGAAATGAAATATTGTTTTCGTGTACAATTTTACAATTTAACGTTTCAATACACAATTTGATTTTAAGCGGCAGCGGAAATCACGTCTGCGCATGCTCGAAATAAATTTTTCATCAAATGCTGATTTTTATAAATTATTTCTGAATTAATAGTCTAAAAACACATTTTTATATTTAGATTATAAAAATTAAAACCAATATAAAAACTAAACAAATTAATTTCTCGCACCTGCTCAGGCATGCTAATATTTATTGGGTTGCCCGAATGGGACCCATATGGGTCCCTCATGGCTTGTATATATGTTAATGCTACGATTTTTATAAAAGATAATAGCAATTTATGCCAAGGTGGTCACACTATAGCTCAAAGTAAACAAGTTCTAAAGAAATAAATAAACGAAAAATCGTTTTTCCTTATAGTGCTGTAATATGGGACCCATATGGGTCCAATATGGGCGTACCCAAATGGACTTGCCCATATTGGTCCCATATAGGTCCAATATGGGCATACCCATATGGGCTTGCCTAGATATAGCCCATATGGGTCCCATATATGCATGTTTGCTGGGATAAACACCTTCTTCGATGTAAAACCATGCAGATATAACCATAAACCCCTTCTTCGATGTAAAATTATATGAAATAAGCGTCTACGATGTTTAAAATACATAACTATACTGTTACAGCCGTCAACAACAACAACAACAACAACAACAAAATTGTGGAATCAAATAAACTTTTGTTCCTGTCTTCAACCAGAGAAGCCGAAAACTTCCGTTTATCGATAGAATGTGTTTTTCTATGTGTTATATAAACTTAAAAACAAAAACCCAGAGAAATACTGATGACAACTTCTTATCAAAATAATTATTTGTGCGCGACAGAGATATCCAAAATAAATATCACATAAACAATTGCCAGAATCGTGCAACAGCAAACTGTTAATTTAATTATCTTTTACTCAAAAACGTTGCTACATAAATGAAGAATTATAGATCTATCATCACTTTGTTGTATTGTTCAATACAAGACATTCTTTTTACAACTACGAAACAAGAACAGCGTTTACAGATGTGCCAATAAATATTCGAATATAACTTTATCAACTTGTGTATAAAGTCTACGTTTACACATATCAAATACATATATATTAATTTAAAAGAATCTTCAAGAACATCAAACATTTATGAACAATTATGAGTGTCAATTTAAAATTATTCTTTAGAAAGCTACATACCAACGATTTGAAATTCCCGACACGTCACGAAAACCAAGCCAAGGAAGTGTTCAATGCGCATGCACAATACACGTTTTACAGGAAATGAAACACCTGGACATTTTATCAATTATCAATTGTTTATAATATTTTTTTTAACTTTTTCGTATATAAATATCTTTTCTACTCTTATCATACATATAATTCTGTTAAATTTTATACCTTAAAGTTTTTCTAATTAATATTCTTAAAATAATTTGTTCTTTGAATATTGTTAACTTATTTGTTTGTTTTTTATGTTTTCTTGATCTCTAGAAATTAACTTTTTTTATTTTTTTATGATGAAATAAAGGAAATTTAATATTTATTGAAAAACTTATAAAGCTATAATATTTACCTTATGTTACTTTAACATATTATTTTTGTATTTTTTTTGCATAAAGATTAATCGAACATTTAACAATAATTATTATTTTACTTATTCAAAACTTTTAAAACTAATATCAAAAGTAAACTTACCTGTGCTACATTGTATCTATCCAAATTTTTCTATTAAAATGAATTCAAACAAAAAGGTTACGCACGATATACAATTGACCAATCAGAGATTATATGACTTAAGGTGATTTTTTCTTTTAAAAATAAACTAATAAAAAGTCATTAGATAACATCTCTGACCGGACATCTCTGACCGGATATTACCTTCGGCGATTTTTCTTTGAGAATAAAGTAACAAAAGGTTGATGTAAAACATCCTTACCTTAGGGGTAAAACAGATGTCAAGTTGATTTTAGATTTTTTTTAATTTGTTACAACGAGTTTGAAATATTTGATAGTAACCTTGTTTAAAACTTTTTTTTTTAAATATTTTTTTTATGTAAGAAAAGGAGGATATTTGTCGTATTGCTGATTGCACAGGCTAATTAGTCATACATGCTATATTCAAAAAGAATGACAAGTCAACATGTATATACATATATTAAGGTTTTTATTTCATAATGTGCACTATGGAACATGACATGATTTATGAGTATTATAGTTCAGGATGCATGCGGACTAGCTTATGTCAAAATGATTTATATATGTAACTCTAAAACGCGTGTATTTATATACATTATAAAATGTCCTTATGACAGGTTGTCTTTATATATACTATTCTCAAATGTCAAAGAGGGAGTTCGACTTTGGTATTACACTCGTACACAGGTGTGTTTGTATTTGTATATTAAAAGTATGTAACATCCGTGAGTTCTTCCTCCGTTATACGACAGCGTCAAATGTTTTAAAAAATATGGCTAACAATAAAAGTCCAGGAACTTCTGGCTTTAATGCAGACTTTTATACAGTTTTTTGGAACCGTATTGGTATTTTTGTTTGTAGGGCTTTAAATCATGCTTTTTCATCAGGGTCTTTGTCGCTTACGCAAACTCAGGGAATCATCACATGTATTCCGAAAGGAGAAAAGTCTAGAAAATATTTAAAAAACTGGCGACCAATTACTCTGTTAAATTGCGTCTATAAAATAGGATCAGGCTGCATTGCAAATCGTTTAAAGAAATTTTTAGATAAAATAGTTAGTAATGATCAAACAGGCTTTATTAAAGGCAGATTTATAGGCGAAAATACTAGATTAATCTATGATATTATGAACTACACAGAAGAAAAAGATATTCCTGGTTTACTTCTTCTAATAGATTTTGAAAAGGCTTTCGACTCATTATCTTGGAATTTTGTGTTACAAACTTTAACCTTATTTAACTTTGGAAACGATATTAAAAGATGGTTCACTATATTGTATAAAGATAGTGTATCTACAATAAGTCAGTGTGGTTTTCTTTCTGACTTTATTAAAATTCAAAGGGGCTGTCGTCAAGGAGACCCTTTAAGTTGTTACATTTTTATCCTATGTGCAGAAATATTGTCCATAAAAATTAGATCAAATGAAAAAATCAAAGGTATTAAAATAAATGGTATTGAACATAAATTATCTCAATTTGCAGACGATACAACTGTTATACTTAATGGCACTGATGAGTCTTTAAATGAAGTCCTAAACACACTTGCAGATTTTTCTTTATTTTCAGGTCTTAAGGTTAATTTTGATAAAACCAAGATTGTTTGGATTGGTAAACTTAAATATAGTACAAATAGCATTAAAACTAAATGGAAATTATCTTGGAACCAGTCTTCTTTTGATATGTTAGGTATAAAATTTCATGTAGAACTTAAGAAAATGGTGACAATTAATTATGATGAAAAAATGAATAAAATGCGGAAAGTATTATCCAATTGGAAACGAAGAAATTTAACTCCAATCGGAAGAATCGTAGTCGTTAAATCTTTATTGTTATCAATATTCACACATTTATTTACAACTCTGCCAAATCCAAGTCCTTATATAATTAAAGACTTAACTGAAACTTTCAGAGATTTTGTCTGGCATGGTCAATGTAAAATTAAGCAAGAGGTCTTTAGACAAAGCATTGATAAAGGTGGTCTAGGAATGATAGACGTTGAAGCATATATTTACTCTTTAAAGATATCTTGGATAAGAAGAATTTTAGTCAATAATGGTAAATGGATAGGTTTGGCATGCTCAATTTTTGATATAGAGAAATTAATTAATTGTGGTATAGGGTATTTAGAAAAAAAGGTTAGTGAGATAAATAATGATTTTTGGAAGGACACTTTGAATGCATATTATATGTTCTGTAAAATTGTAGAAACAAATGAAAATGAGTTATATTCTCATCCAATTTTCTATAACCCTTTAATAACTATTGGCAATCAACCAGTGTTCTTTAAAAACTGGTTTAATGCAGGTGTACATGTCATAGGTGATCTTTTGAAATCAAATGGACAATTTTATAGTTTAAATGAATTAAATGACAAATATAACAAAAAATCTAACTTTATACATTATCTTGGTATTGTAAATAGTTTATCCAGTTTCCTTTCATCTTATGATAGAACATGCAATGTCCTACATATACCTTTTATACCACCTTTTTTAAAAGTTATTTTAAAATTTACTAAGGGTACACATTCTATGTATGAGGCATTTATTAAAACCAAGATAATACCTACTTGTATATCAAAATGGTGTGAAAAGCTCAATGTAACATTAAGTGAAGAAGATTGGAGTTACATTTTTTCTTTACCTTTTAAAATATCAAATGATTCAGGCCTACAATGGTTTCAGTACAGAATTAATCATAGAATAATAGCAACTAATTCATTACTTTTTAAAGTGAAATTAAAAGATAACGAACTCTAGGTTTTTGTAAAAATGAGAAGGAAACATAAGAACACATGTTTTGGTTTTGTCCGATAATAAACAATTTAATATTTTCTGTTTTTGAAAAGTACGGCATTTTTAGATCTTTGCTCAACTGTTGTAATTTTATCCTTGGTTTGAAAGATAGTAATTCAACTGCAATAAATACGATTTTTCTTTTTCTGAAAAAGATATATTTACAACTGTAGGGTAAAAGAACAAGTACCAAATACTACAAGAGCACATCAGTATATTAAATACCAATTTATAATTTTTAGAGAGAAAGCAATTTACCAAAATGATTTAGATACCTTCAATAAGACCTGGATTCTTTTTTGTCAAAAGATAGAGCTATAGTTAACCTTTCATATGTTTATAAAACTGAAAACGATAGCCAGAAGTATAAATGATCAAAAATATATTACTTGCAAAACCTGTTTTTCTTTCATTTTTTTTTTCATATAAAAAACAAATATATAATTTAGTTCCTTGTTAACTGAATAATATATAACATATGATTATATGTAACATTGGTAAATATGGTTGTAATTGTATATTGGTCATAAAGCCTGCAATACATTATATGTTTGTTACTGTTATATTATTTCATATGTTTTATATGTTTTTATATACACAAATATAATGTACGGTATAGAGCAGGATGTCCTCGACCTGCATATACCTATTGACGAGGAAAATAAATTATGTAAAAAAAAAAAAAAAAGTTTCAGGACGAAATGAAAAATGGAAAAACGAAATGGAAAACAATAATTTCACAGAAAATTCAGTCCAAATGGGGCATAACACTATCAATAAAAGTTAGTTGCTGCAAAAATCACACTATGTATTAATTTACATACTTCTTTGCTAAGTATAAACAAAAATATTAAAATCCATCAAAAGATATCCTGCGGAAACCAGTAAATTTAAAGAAAATTCAGTTAAAAAGGGCATTACTCTTTCAGTAATAAGTTACCATACATCAGGTTTTTTTTGCGTACAACAAATTATGCGATTCTGTCAGAAATATAATTTTAGCATATCTAATTTTTAACTGCTTTTTCCGTGTTTTTCTGCTTACAAA